AGCCCAATGTACCCATGAACTTTTGAAAAAACTTAAAGTCACACCCCCATAAACCTTTGTACTCAAAATGTTCGTTATGACGAGAAACCTTGCGCAAAACTATCCATTATTTCATAAATTGCCCTTTAAGGTCGTAATTCCTTTTTAAAGGGAACTTTCCATATACTTTATGTAAAAAATACTTCAGCTGTACTTATTTGTTTATTATTCTTTCAAGTTATTACCTTATTAAAATCAGGTGTGATTATTTGTTTGTATTACTGTATTCTGTTTTGTTTATTTCAGCTTAACTTAACCAATCAAAATAGTTTTAATAATCTATATATTAATTTGAAACTGTTTTTCTTTGTCACAGCTATTTTGAGAGAACGGCTAGGCGTAGAAACTCGGTAGAGGTGTCTTAAGAAAGGTCTTGGTCTGTAGATGAGCCATCAAAAGAGAAACATGGTGAATTCCCTTGGGGCTCTTCCCATGTGGCCTTTAAATTCCCATCCCATGTTATTCTTATGGAGGAAAACGGGGTTTTTGTCACAGCTAATTTGAGAGAACGGCTGGGCGTAGAAACTTGGTAGGGGTCTCTAAAGAAAGGTCTTGGTCTGTATATGAGCCATCAAAAGAGGAAAGAGGTAAATTCCCTTGGGGCTCTGCCCGAGAAGCCTTTAAAGTTGCCTCTTCAGATTTGTTTACATTACGACCATATGCATAATTCTACACTACTTTTTAATGCAACAGCTGTTAATATTTAAATTGTGATTTATTGAATTTGTCAAAATGAAGTACAGTATTTGCAATGGATTTTTCAGATTTTAAAATTGATTTTCTTCTGCATCGTGTCATGTTTTGCAATATAATGTTCTATTACCAAATCAGTGGAAAATCCTAATATCACAGTAACTTTTAAAATTATTTCTTATGGAGTTAACTTATATCTATTGTATGGGTTGGTTTCTGCCTTTTTTACCACTTCTTGGAGATTGTACGTAGGTGATATTCTTTGGCATATTGCATCTGTAGACGAAACTTGGGTTGGTGTAATTATTACAATGGAAAAGAGCGAGAAATCTTGGAAAATTTGATATAGGCTAAAAATAAAACTGAATTAACACTGTGCTACATTTCTTGAGCAATCATTTAAATAACCGATTTGCAAACAATGGAAACATAGAAAAAGTCATAGAACACAACCAAGTAAAAGAAATAGAAATAATGTTTTTTTTACACTAAAAACACTAAAAAAACAAGATCGTCTTTTTGAAAAAAGATACGATATTTACAAAAGATTTTGATTATATCAAACTGTTGTGTAGATCGTGAGTATTTCCATAATCTTTGAGTCGCCTGTAATGCTTCGCAATTGCTCGAATTCGAGCAACAGGTACACTAGTACTTATGAAGTCAAACGGGGTGAAGCCCGTGGGTAACAGCTAGTTCATTAATAACTGCTGTTTTGAGGACAAGTATAGAAATAATTAAAGTCATAGAAAATAAACAAGAACAATCTGCACTTTGGGCTTTCAGGGTTAAAGATAATGTGATTTGCTGATTAGTGTTTTGTAAATTGTTTTCATCTGAGAGAGGAAATCACTTCTATTTGTATGAGTTACAAGTTTAATGCAACATCAATGTAAAAATTAAAACATTCAAGTGGAAGTAAAATTTTACATACAAAAGTGTGAAGCAATTTTATGAAAATATTGTACTGGGATTGTTGGTAAAAAGACAAATTTAAATTTGCTGGCTAGTCATTAAAATTTTACTTTTTAACTACTCAAATTTTTACAAATGTCATAAAAGTGCACACGGATGACGTTGAACAAATTGTGTACCGTATTAATTATGTACTACTTCATCTCAAGGGAGCTAAAAATGTTAAATTTGGTGAAATTATAATACATATCTATTTATGAGTTTGGGTACTAAATATTTTAACATCAATAAACCTTTTCATATGAAAAACTGTTAATTGAATATTTTATTGGTAAGAAATATTGTAACCGTGTTTGTGCGGTTTTCAATAATTAAAACAATCTAAATAAGGTCTTAAGCGATAAGTTTATTTATTAAAACTATTTTTTTTAACAAACACATTTGGTAAAAGAATTTACTGAAGTAACTAAAGTAAATATTTATAGAATTGAAATATTATAAGAAATTGAACTATTCCCAATGTTAACATTGAGTTTTTTCATTTATGGACATGAGTACTAATCAATATTTTCCTATTTGAACGAACTAGTCTAGTGGTAGAGCGCAAGGCTTCAACCCCATTGAGGTTCCAGGTTCGAATCCCGCCAATCACCAATGAATTTTATCTAAGTGATAATGTAACAGCCCTCTAGGTACCTGAAATAATATGTAAGAATGGTTCCGTACTAGAGTCTAGGGGAAGAATCAATATTTTCCAAAAATCTCAACACTACAAACAATCACAGAGTAGGCCTATAGCCCAAAGGGATTTTAAGAACAAATAGACCAATGTTGGTTGGGTCCATGATCTACTGTTAAATTTTTTCCCAGACAGTTCAGTAGTTTTTAGGTTCACATAAAAAAACATAAATAAACCACTATTATCATATTAAAATTCCATATCCAACTCATCAAATTTAAATCAAATTGTTTTGCTTATTAGCACCTCTAAGAAGACAGTTCCTTTTGAAAGTTGTACACATAAAACAAGCTTAGCTCACGAGAGGTCTAAGGATCTGAAAGCAGCACTTTCAAATGTCCTTGATAATCGCCATGACTCCTCTATTTTCCTCCAATGCGGCTGTTTTAATTCATCTTGATGAATGCAGATGGTGACTGATCATGTAATTAAGGAAATCTGTGCCGAGTCGCAAACCTATAATTTGCAATGAGGTACTTCAGCAAACTGTGCTACACTTTCCCTATGCTTAGTCTGAGATATGCAAACTGAGGCGATTGTACATTTGCGAGAATTTGTGTTTATTGCTGGAACTCAAGAGTTGTTGACCACAAACAGATTTAGTTCGTAAAATTCACGATTTTGTTTGAATAACTGAGATAAACTAAAAAATACTCCACCAGCAAACCTGCAGACTAAGCAAATTTCCATTTACCTGGCTGGATTTGTAATGAAGTATTCCTTAAAAATTGTCAAATTTATTTCCTATTTAAATAACATTAATTTTAGTGAGTAATTAGGTTTGCTGCTATGAAGAAGATATTGAGGTGTTGAAATGTTGATAGGTTAGTAGGAAATAAACAAAATTGCCAAATTTGATTTAAATATATTTATAAACAAGCAAACTACAATTTTCGGTTTATTTATTCTCCATATAAATAACATAGGAATTTTATATTTACAATTTTTTGATTACCGGTATCTCTGTAACCGTTGGACATACAACCATGCTTCAATATACAAAATTATTTATTTTTTAAAGCTCTAATATATATATGAATTTGAACGGATGGTGTTTTTGGAATCTGGGGACCTCAAAACGAAAAAGTAAATCAGTCCCGGGTCTAGGTCTTACCATGGGACCTACGGTAATAGCTTATTCCCTATATGGGAAATTCGCTAAAAGAATGTTATGTGATCTAGTACCAAATTTGGTAAACATATGCCTTTTATATTATACAGGGTGTCCCGTAACTCTCTGGACACTTGTATATAGCGTTATTCCTTAGGTCAAGACAAACACATTTCACCATAGGAACATGGGTCTGTGGTGTCTAGTTTACCGACTGTCGGCATTTATGTGTTTTTTACATAAACAATAATAACTCCTACACGGTTTGAGATACAGCTTTGATATTTTGCAAAAATGTTAACCTTATTAAGACCTATTATTGTTAGAAATTATACTAAAAAATCTTTAACCGTTTCAAAATGGCGGCCATTTAAAATATTTGATGCCAAATTTCACAAAAACCGTTAACTTTACAAAAAAATTGCAAGACACAAAAAAGTTTGTGAATTTTATGTAGTTTTCAATGATACCTTATTTGTTAAGATTGGATAAATAATAACAGAGAAACGGGTTGTTTTCGTAATGTATGACCACTTTTCTCCATTTAAACAATGCTAAACAACGTAAAAGGAGTATTAGCATTGTTTAAATGGAGAAAAGTGGTCACACATTACGAAAACAACACGTTTCTCTGTTATTATTTATCCAATCTTAACAAATAAGGTATCATTGAAAACTACATAAAATTCACAAACTTTTTTGTGTCTTGCAATTTTTTTTGTAAAGTTAACGGTTTTTGTGAAATTTGGCATCAAATATTTTAAATGGCCGCCATTTTGAAACGGTTAAAGATTTTTTAGTATAATTTCTAACAATAATAGGTCTTAATAAGGTTAACATTTTTGCAAAATATCAAAGCTGTATCTCAAACCGTGTAGGAGTTATTATTGTTTATGTAAAAAACACATAAATGCCGACAGTCGGTAAACTAGACACCACAGACCCATGTTCCTATGGTGAAATGTGTTGTTTGTCTTGACCTAAGGAATAACGCTATATACAAGTGTCCAGAGAGTTACGGGACACCCTGTATAACTTAACTTAATGACATGAAACCCCCCATTTTAAATTGATGGTTATTCCTAACACCCAGGGACCTCCCAACAAACTATAATTATACTAGTTTGTGTATTGAAAATATATTATGTAATTCTACACACTGTATCTTATGAGTCGTTCTATGAATTATTCTCATTTTGATTTCTTTCTATTGCACAATCTTATTCTTATTTTTGAAGTGTATTTTACTAATTTACTTTTTAAGTTGTAATAATTTGTTTAAAACAAATTAAATAAAAAGTTTGAATAAAAAAATAATGTACTAACTTATAAAATAAAATCATCTTACTAATCTATTATTTTCACTAACCACTGGGGGGGGGGGGGGGGGGGGCAATAAATAGGGCCATTTTTTAATTATGTATTAAGTCCCCCACAAGCCATAATCTGCTGTCAAACAAAGTAAATAAAAAAATACAGTTTAAAAGTTAAATTTATTTACAGAAGCAGACTCAGATTTGGACCGCCTAGGAAATGGCCAACCAGGAACTCCATCTGGTCCCAATGAACGAACTACAAAAGCAGCATTCAATTTTTTTGATGGCGATTTATTACAGGTTAGTGTTAAAAAACCCAATATTGAATAACATTTTACAAAAAGCACTATTCCCACCCCAGTAGCAGCAAACCTTAATCCACATATAAAAACTGTCCACAAATAACATATCCACTAACTGTGTGTTAGTAGATGGTTCTAATTAATCTCATGTTATTAAACGTGGAATAAACCTGATATGTTTAAGGAAATATTTTAGTAAAAAGTCCAATCAGGAAAAAGGAAGTTCACTTAGTCTACAGGTCTGCTGCGACGGGGGTATAGTACAACCACAGAAAAAGCTTTTACTTAGTCCAATCCAGTTGAATTAGAATTGTAATTAGATAATTTTGGATGGAACTGTATTCACAACTGAAAATAAAATTGATGTATCAATTAAAAACATAGGTTAAGAGAGAGTTAAAAAATGTTTTTTTCAGGCAGTCAGCAGGGAAGTGACAGGCAACTTTGTGATTTCCCCTGCAAGCGTCAAGACATTGATGGGTTTGATTTTTGAGGCCTCGGATGGTGTAACTCTGGATGATTTAAAGATCGCACTCCGGCTGACTCATAACTCTGAGCAGAACCGCCAGTGGTTGAAGTCACTCTCAGTAGTGCTGCAGGTAATTTAAAATTCTCTTGACTTTTAATCCTGCGACTCCTCCAGAATAGAGCATCTACTGTTCCTCACCACGGCACTCAGATGGTCCCTTATCTCTTAAACCTCTTCCAGGATTTGCCTTCTCCTGTTTAGTTTATCCTTGTTTAATGTCCCGCTCACCTTTTCCAGTGTTTCATTCTATACCTCCTAAGCATGTTGTCCTAAGGCTGACTTTGCCTGGTTAAATAAAGAATTGTTCATTTCATTTCATGTTGTAAAACTTTGTATCTCAAAAGAAGTGATGTCCTCAAAAGAATCTATATATTAAAATTATTGGGTTTTCTTTTCCGAGTAGGTTTTGGCTCTTCTACCGGAACGAATTTCATAATGTTGGTCTTAAATGAAAGGGATGCACGCAAATATTTGCCGACGAGCATCGGCGTTCATTTATCTGACGTATAATTGGAGTTATGCATAAGATCAACTTCCTCCCTGTACATTTCTTATGGGAGTTAAATTTGGTTTTTCTTTTCTGAATTCGTTTGGCTCTTAAATTCAACGTATGTACAAACAGATTTGCCACCAAGCATCGTCATTCATTTATCTACTGTATTACTCTACCAAAAAACATTATTATTACTACAAAATTATTACTTCAATTATCACCCGTTCTAATTACATACTACACATAACTGCATTAGTAATTACATACTATATGTTTTTGACTAAGAACCTTCAGTGAAATGCCAGCTTTCATTTGAGCTGATTTTTACACATGTGTTACAGAAAATGAACACAAGCCAATTGAAAGTAGATTCTGCAACAAACGTCTACCACTCCAAAGATCTTACGATGAACTCAACCTACATCAGAGCCATCTCTGATATCTACAAGGCAGGAATCGAGAGTTTGGACTTCAAGTCTCCGGAAGTGGCCGCTAACAAGATCAACAGCTGGGTCCATACGCAAACTGAGGGGAAAATACCATCAGTGGTAGATGCAGGTATAGCTTAAATCTAAAGAAAGAAAAGGATACATTTATAAAGAACGCAGAATGTGTGTTATAACATAGAAGAATTTTATAACCATCCCTTGAGTTAATTTTTTGTTTTTCATATTCTTAAACTATTAACATTATTTGGCTAGGTTTTTTTTCTATCACCTTGTACTTTGCATTTTCCTAGTCTAGGCTTAATTAATTTTGACAATGCAACTGTTCTATATGTTATCACGTAAAATAATGTTATGTGCAAATAAATAATGTTTAACGTCTAATGAACATTCAAACTCAAATGACGTGTTTTATTTTGTACGGAATCGAAATCTGTTTAGACCCTTTGAACCCTATGGATTGTTCAGCGATATATCTATTCCTAATTTCTCTTGTCTCCAACTTATTTAATGTACACAAAAATCTAAATTTCAAAACAAGTTTTTAGACACACTCAATGAGGATAAGGAAGATGTAACAAAATGATTTGAGGGGCCACTCACAAATAATTCACTGCCCCCATCAACTTCCACCCGAGACGACCACTATTATAGATAGGCTATGTTAGGTTAGGTTAGGCTAGGTCAGGACCTCTGTCATCAAGCTCTCCGACAGACAGGTCCTCACTGAAGATGCATACTGACCTATCTTGATTTTTCAAACTTTTTAGGAGAGCAGTTTAAATGTTTTTGATCCTATACTTGACATGGTTGCGCAAAAAAGTATAAGTGATATAGATATAGTGATCATATTCTTCGAGTGTTGTGTCGTGGCGTGTCATGTCATGACATGTCATTCTGTGTCCTGTCTAGTATCGCAGCTTCTATATCATAGCACAGGAAGCATCTATCAGGAACTTTCCTATGTAATATACCTCAAGCTTAACTTGACCACCAATATTACAGGAAAGATTGACCCCGAGACGATGGCAGTTCTGGTCAACACTGTGTACTTTGACGCCAAGTGGAAGGAGGAGTTTAAGTTGAGCGACACCAACGAAGACTGCTTCTACTCTGAGCCTGACTTGGCTTGCAACAAAGTTCCTATCATGTACAAAGCAGAGGAGCTCAATTACAAATTTGACAGAGACTTAAACTCCCACGTAGTGCAGATCCCTTACCAGGTAATCCAACTGTGTTTCCGGTATAGTTACGAGTTATTTTTATTGTTAAAATATAATAGGCAATATTACTTAAGATGCACTATTCTTAAATACCCTCTAGATTTGAAAAAAGTGTTTTCAGCAAACTTGCTTTACGGTACGTCCAGAGTGCACGCCGATTCAGATTCAGAATCAGATTTTCGGCGCTTGGTTAATCTGAGTCAGATATTTTGTTGGTGGCCACAGTGGAAGCAGGAAATACGCCACCGGTACTGACTCGGTAGCAAAGAAACAAGTCAGTCGTTTTTATGGAATTGTCGGATGAGAAATTAACATGTAAAATTATAGCGTCTGAAACTGTTGTGAAGTTACAGCCAGTGAAAAATGGTGTTCATGATATTATATATCTCTTTCCCTAGAGCTAGAAATGATATAGCTTCTTTTTATATTGCGTTGAGTGGGAACCATTGAAACGTATTATTAAAATTGGACATCGTTTTGTTAGAAACTGGTGTAACCTACATAAACAAAAAAAATCCTGAAGACCGTTTGGTGGTATTTCTAAAAGTAAGAATAAAAAAAAATAAATATTTTACTATAAAACATAATTTATTTAACTAAATAGTATATTTTATACAACTAAGTAGTATGCGTACGAGCAAAATTTAAATCTGAATCCAGAATGAAGAATTAATTCCGGTAAGCAGGTGCCTGCGCGCTGGCTCGGAAACCGGAAGCCACTATGGACACATCCATTTAAATGCATGTGCCATTCCTGCCGCCAAAAATCTGAATCGGCGCGCACTCTGGACGTACCGTTAGTTTGGATACCTCAAAACCAGACCGTTGTCCAAATTTAAAAAAAATCTTAACCACCAGAAGTTAGCATGAAACTGAAAGGATAGGATACTAAATTATTCAGCCATTATTTCTTGTAATTATTTCAGCCAAGCAGGGTCTTGTTTGGATTAAACGTGTTGAAACAAGACTTATCTACTGAAGGCCCCAAATGTATTCCTTGTTTCAAATCTTATTTTGTGGTCTAGGTTTGTTTTCTGGCAGCCTTTAAAAAATATCATAAAATTGTTTAACACATTTAAGGACCACTTTATAAATGCTAGCAATTGCAAAGTTTTAATGTTTTCTTAGATTAGAAACCACGCTGACCAATAATTTTGTATTTTTTGAAAATCGTACTAGGTACCTGATTTAGAACTGCACAGATCTTTAGTGGTAAAGCACAACTGTTAATTTTAAAACAGATTATTTAATTTTTTTTTCCTATTGTTTAACTTTATTACATGTAGTAAAATTCCCTGGATTTTCCTTTAAGACTTCAACATTTTATGTAGTGAACTATTGTGATTTGCGAGTTTTTTTATTAGTGTTAACTTAGTACATTGATTTCCCAGCTGAATCTAACTTTACGTCAGGGCCAATATTTTTGCAAATCTCGTTTTTGTGATTATTATTTTATTTATTAGATTTCTTTTCTTAGAATTGACACAGAGGCAACAGAACTTTAAATGGTTGGTAACTAGTACCAAAACATGTTGTTTGCCTCAGGACGAAAGATTCTCAATGGTCCTCGTAGTTCCGGCTGCTAAAAATGGGCTGCGCAGGATTGCCAGAGACGTTAGCAAACTTACATTCCCAGCACTCATCAACAAGACTAAAACTACAGAGGTTCACCTCAGACTGCCAAGATTCACCGCAGAATTTGGGGCTGATATCAAAATGATCCTGACTAAGGTACTCATCTGTTACAACTTATAAGTGCTTTTTGAGTTCCGTAGAAACTTTAGTAAAATAATACAGTAGAACATAGTGAACCAAGGGAATCAAGGAAACGGTTTTGTTATCGAGGCACTCATCTTTTAGAGAATTAAGTTAGCTAGCAGTTGTGTTATCAAGGTTGAATGGGAGGGCAACTTCGTCATCTTTGGAATAAGTCTAATTAGAGCAATGCTTAAGCTTACTTTTTTCTAAAATTATACTTTGCAGTGTAGTATCTGAAAGTGTCACAAAGTTTAAAATAGGTTGAAAAAAATCTAAATTAATAAAACACTTGTGTGGTTGACCATTCTCTTTTCTTCTACCTACTGTATTTTCTTGTACATTTCAATGTATTTTTCTATTAATTCTACTGTTGAAGACTTTAACTGATCTTTTCCAGAGATAATATATAAAAGATAACTAGCGTTTTGAAAAATATGAGTGAGATAGGAAAAAGGTGGTGTATGTAGTACCGGAGTCTGAATCGATGATGTTTCCTCCAAAACATCTGATCTGGTGAATTCTTGAACTGTTCAATTCATTTACATGAACATTTATATTTTAAAATGAATGTATACAAGAGTATATTTTTTTCCAGTTGGGACTAGGAACACTGTTCTCTGAACAGGCCAATATCCCATTTATGATCAACAACAAGCAGGCCAGAATAACCGATGTCGTACATAAGGCCAAAATTGAGGTCTCCGAGAAAGGGACAAAAGCTGCAGCAGCATCTGGTGAGACAATTGTGTTTTATTAGACAGTTTACACTCTGTAAACAGGGTGCAGGAAATTGAGTAACATTTTGGATTAAAACTCTTTGCAAGAAATTAAAAATTCAACTAAAATTCAAATTATTGCGTTTGATAGAGCTAAATGATCTATAAAAGTGTAATATAGTGCACAAGGCATGAAAGAGTGCAAGAGCACATTTCATGTAAGACTAAGACACGATTGCTTGTACCCATTCACCAACAACTAAACTGGAATATACAACAAGTTCATACATCTCAACCTGTTACATTGGTTGTGAATAGTGGGCGAAATGGCACTTTGCTGCACACAGAGAAATGTTTACACACAAGCCGTAGGCGAGTGTGGAAAGTTTCTCAAGTGCAGCAAAGGCAGTTTGCTCTCGTGTTACACATTATATTTTTTCTACAGTTAATAAATAGTCAAACGTTAAATCCAAATTTTGAACAAAATGGGAAACGCTACACCAGCTGATTGTAGTCGTAGTATCTTTAAGTGTTGCCAACCAAGCATACATGGATTACGTGCGACAAAGTAAAAAGTGTGTGGCAAAGTAAGTCAATGCAGCAATTAGCAGCTTTCTATACTATAATCAGTGCAAGGAAGCCCACTTTGTTGGGTGACTGTAGGAAAAAAATATTCTGTTATCATTACAAAATGAGAAATTCCACAAGCCATATTACACCATTCCTGTGAATAGGTGGCCGGTTTATGGGTAAACCTTTAATAATTTAATGGTTATTTAACATGTTTTAGGCCTACAATCTTTTTTTTTCCTTGTTATTAGATTGTTGGATAATCAAAGTTAATTTAAATTGGTTCATTAAGTTTTTTGCTTATTTTATAGGCTTCTTCTAATTTGTGTAAATGACGATTTCTTCAGGTGCTTCAGTAGTCCCACTAATGTCCGGAAATGACCCAGCGTTCATCACGGCCGACCACCCGTTCTACTACTTCATCTACGAGACAGAGAGTGGAAGCGTATTGTTCTCCGGCCGCGTTTCATCTCTGAAAGGGCAGCCCGGAACTGGCGCCAAGGACGATTACGAGACTGTCAACCTAACTCCTCTATCAGGGCCAGGCGTTGAAAATATGAAACCGAGGCCTATTTCTGCCCCTCGTCCTGCCGGTACTTCCCGTCCGAACGGACCAGGCGCCATGTCTTCGCAGAGACCAAACTATGTAGGAAGTGAGAATCACCCTTACGACATAAAAGGTCAAGCAACATCGCCGACACAACCCTCATCTCCATCAGAGTCGTACGGCAACCCTATTATGTACCCCACTGCATCTGAGTACTTGTCTAAATATGGACAAGACCACTACCGTGGTCGTAATCTTGGTTCTCACAAAAGGACCAGCGCCAATCATCAGTGAAAAATACTCAGTTATATTTAATTTGAAAACTGTGATTATGCGCTGGCAAAATGAGACTGCCATTTTGAAAAGTGATTAAGCAGCTCATTTTTAAGAATGAGTGTTGCAAACTTTAGTGAATGGAGTTCTATGAAATATGAATAGCCTGCTAGATCAGGGCTTACAAATCAAGTGTTTTGTTGCACATTTAATGATGATTTAATGATAAAAATATAGAAGAGTCCAATGGAGTGAAATTGTTAATGTGACAAAAAGTAATAATGTAATAAAATGTGATTTTAGAATATGATAAGACTATACAAAGTAGAGTTTTTATAACAGGATTTTAACTTATTGTCATACCTTGTATTTATGTATTTAAAAAAAAAAATATTGTTAGAGTGCTTGGATCAGAAAATATATACAAAACTTTTTAAAATACAGATTTAATTTGGTTATGTTCCTACCATATAAGTTTATTTAAAACATCCAGTATCTAGTTGTCTATTCATTTGTATGATGATAATGTATAATTTTTAAGGTATAATACCTGATGTTCTGAAATGTTTAATGTTTTTTTTAATGTACTGTGTTTTACAGTATACTTCCTTATTATTCTTTTGTATCCTCACACTGATGTGAGACAGGGTTCAAGCAAGTAGGACAGTCACCTAAGAAGACACTTTGAGGATGGGGTGAAAAAGTTGTACTATCCTCGAAGTAAATGTTGGGTCTTCATTATATTCAACCACTTACCTGGCAATAATCGACTAAGTTTGGCCGTGCCCACAGGTTGTGAGGAGGGTAAGTATCAGGTGGCCGACGATTCGGGGGGAAAACCGATGTTTTTAGAAAGGCATTATTTTCCACCAAAATTGGCCCTTTACTCTATTGCCCTGCACCGGGCACAAGTCTTCTTATGGTTTTTTTACTGTAGGCCTACATCCTTAAGTAGTAGGCCTATATAAATAAAATATGACTTGACTCACATTTCGGAGGTATAGCTTTGGCGTAGTGGGGTTCGTCTAGACTACCAGGTCCCGCCATACACCATTCTGGGACGACATGACACGTCTGTCCCGGATCTAGTGGCTTCTCTTGTAGCAGGATACCGTAGATCCTCCGTCGGATAACTGCTGTTGCCTGAAAATAAAATTCCATTGTTTCTAGTCTTCTACAGTTTAGCTTTAACTCGTAGAGCTCCAACATCTTGTATATTGTGCCCAATTTTAACAGACAACTACCTAAATTACCTATGAGAGTGTAACCTTTGACTATTGATACAACTAGACATTCCATCCCGTGATAAAGCTGTCGCCAGTTTTAAAATTGAAACGTCGTAGTTCACATGAGCCACCTACGGATTGTGCTGATGCAAATTGATTAATGTCAAAAATACACAAACTTTTTTACCAAGTCTAACTTATGGAACAACATAACTGCTCCATTATGTTTTCTTCCCATTTGGTCCTTATTAAAAATATGCATTTTCATACTTTTGCTTGTGTTTAAAGTCATTATCTTGTAATTTTTATGAGTAATTTTCTTAGTCTTGTATGTTCTCAGTGTTTTAGGACCGGCTTCTGTGACATGAGTAATAAATTCCCTTTTTGTCAGCTCAGAGTTGAACCTTTTGTTCGATAGTCAACGCCTGTCTTGTGATTTGTCATCAACTCCCCCATACGTCTACTTCCAGCAGATGTTAATTACGGTTAGCAATCCAACTTTTTTGAGTGACTCCTTTTGGCAGTATCCTATCCTGAAAATTAGACCAATTTGTATATACCAAGGCAAAAATGTAGTTCGGATTCCACTATAAACCGTAGGTCCCTTTGTTGCCATTAGCTATATGGGCTATTAATTAACAGCTGTGTCTAAGGAATAAGTCGGCCTTAGTCACTAAAAAGACTACAAGATCGCGCCACTCATCTCCATTCATACTTGGCTTAAAATACCTACTTTGTATGGTCGCCATTTCATTGAAAAGTATTAATGTATTAAAGTATTCAAGTATTAAAGCATAAATTGATCTTTGGTTTGATTTAAAAATGTATTTTTATTACTTACAAACAAAGAAACAGAATGCTAGTTTGCTTTTAATACCTAAAACTAACTATCTTCCAGTTATAATCTTAGCACTAATAGACCTGATCCTTCAATGAAATAGTTTCAAATATTTTAATTCATTCGGAACCGTTAATCAACTTCTCATAACCCAACACTATGAGTGTGAAACAAACACTTTTTTGCTCTTGAAGTGTAACGAGCTATTTTCCCTAGGGGGGTATATTTTTGCTATTTGGCCGCGCCATGGTTGTTGAAGTAAGCAAGCGGTGGCGGCGAACCTGGCCAGCGCCCTTTGACCCGGCTTATCAGTTCGGATAAGCTTGGGTATCCTGGAATTACCGGACAGCCGAGAACGGACATTCTAGTCGTGGATCCCGTGCAGTGAAGAGCGAGCGTGTGTCTAGTGAGACGTCCAGTTGTGTACGCGACAGTGGTGTCGGAGTATGCTGGTGGTGTGATCGCGCCGAGTGTTGGTGTAAGTTGGGTACAGACCCACTATTGGTGAGTGGACGACGTTCCTTACATTTTGGTTTAAGAGCTGATAGTTGTTACTAAAACATTCATCTCTGATTTCATTGGTTGAGTTGTAACCGTGCTAGTCAAAGCCTGACGATAGTTAGGATTTATATTAGTCAGGAATAATATTAAAGTGTATTCCTGACGGTTCTGGGCAGGTGCTAGAGCGCAAATAATATAATTTAATTGACTGTAGTAGATATTATTTTGCGTTGTACCTAGAGTTAGTTATATTACTAATAACTCTGAGGCCCGACAAACCTAGGCTGCACGATTTAGCGTGCGTAGTTGGAAGCACGAGGCCAGTAGGCTAGTAGCTAATATTATTAGCCTATTAACAGAAGCCCAGCTAAGTAACATAAAGTTGGTAGTAGCAGTAGGGTTGGTATTGATTAATCATTTAATTATTTTAATTTAACCTGAACAGCTTGCTTAGTAATCCAACACGTTAGCTTGGTAGCTTGGATAGCGGAGTACCGGCTATCAGATAATATATTTATCTAGTGTTTGGAACGTATTTAATATTTATTTATCTGCTACTAAGTAGATCAATATTTTAATAGTGCAATTGCCATTTAGTTTTGCTTGTTTGGCTTGGTATTTATTGAGACCAGCTACTAGTGGTGTAGTCACTCTACCTATAGTGTACTTGTATATTATTATGTGGTACGATTATTGAGTGAACTGTTTGATTCTTAGCTTGGGCATTAGAGTTGTGTATTGCAGTTTAGTGGCCTAGTAGACCCCGCCTGGTGATAACTCGCGTTGTGGTTTTTATTGGCAAGTCGTCGTGTAACTCACCGTGTTTTAGGCACTCTGGGCTTAACTATTGGATAGTTAGGACGAAGCCCGAGTTGCGTAGTCAGCAACGACCCCCTAGGAGTGTGGAGAATCGGCGTAGGCCTGGTAGTGATTATTGCACGTTTGTTTTGGTGACTTGTTTTTGACTTGTTCACAGTGCCCGTGTATGAGCCAGTCCTATACCGGTTAGACCCGGCTTTTGGCCTAGTGGTTTCCCTGACCTTATCGCAGACCCTGGAACTTTACCCAGCCATTGTAGGCTGAGCTATCCCGGCAAACGGTGACGACTGCACTTTTAATATTATTTTCCCAGTGCAGAAAACATCGTCGCAAGATGGCGCCTGCGAACAGGGACTGAGGTTGGCAGTGGTGCTGAGTTGCTGACGTATTAACGGCGCCCGAACAAAATAATTTTATTTGTGCAGATTTGCTGCGGACTTGAGCAGATTGGCTGCGGACCTGAGCTGTTGAGCAGAGTTTTAGGCAGACCTGCTGTGATTTTATAGTCGGTTGGGTAGGCCTAACCTGATTTCTGTTACAGCGTGGTGTGTTGTGAACCCTAATTTATTTAGTGGTTGTATACATAGATATTAGTTAGTAATTTAAATTTTGCTAATTAATTGAGCTTTATCATTGAATATTATTTGAGTGAGAACCCTTATTGTGTATTTGTGGTTTGACTTTCACACCCATAATTGGTTTGATTTATTATTTTGCTAATTAATTGAGCTTTATCATTGAATATTATTTGAGTGAGAACCCTTACTGTGCATTTGTGGTTTGACTTTCACACCTATAATTGGTTTGATTTAATAGTACGGTGTTAAATAGATTTTAATTGGTTTCGCTCTTATTTTTGCGGATTAGTCGTGGTATTTGGATTTTAAATATGGTTGTGACTACGAGTACGACGTCTGTGCTAGGCGGTACGCCTATCACGTCTGCTATTGTTACAACTAGTTCTGGGGTTAGCTCCGAACTGTCGGTGATGACGACGTCGTCATTGTGGCCTGCGTCTTCGCCTGTTTGGCCGACTATTTCATCGGTCGTGGGTACGACGGTAACAACGTCTCTGACTTATTCCGCGCCAGCGACTATGTCCTTGGGGTCGCAGCCCCGGGACGGTCGCGTGGGTTGGATCTATGACCTCTCGAAAGGGGAGCTCATGAGAACGATGGACCAGTATGGTTTGGTGACCACTGGGACTTCTGCTGAATTACGGCAGAGATTTTCATCGTTTTGGAAGCAGCGGAATGCCCGTCGGTACAGCGATGATAGGCTGTGTACGGCTGGGGCTGCTGCACCGACATATGTACCGCCGGCTACTACAACTGTGGAGCTTCCTGACCCCCTGAGAACCGTACCTCAGGTAATGGGTAATGCGGAATCGAATCAAGCGGAGATAGTGGGACTTAGCAGGGAGTTAGAGGTGGTTAAAGAGATCCTTGGGTTGTCTTTGGAGACTGATACCCGGACTCTTAGAGAACATCTGGCATCGGTGGTGCGACAGGCGAGAGGCTCGCCGAGTAATGGGGTCGGCTATGGGTTCGAAAGACCCGCCAACCCTACGTCCCCTGTTGTGGCTGCTCCAATACCTACCTTTGGGTTACCTAGTAGACCCGAGGGATGGCAGCGGCCCAATGATAGTTCTGAGAGACCAGCCCGGCCTTCTAGCTTGGAGCTGCCTCGAGGCTCGGATATGCTCTCAAATGAGGCCAGCAGGGTGGAGCCAAAGGATTGCTCCAAAGTATGCAACACGGTACGGAAGTGGGGTTTAAGGTTTGATGGCCGACGAGACCCTGTGTCGTTCCTGGAGCGCCTTGAAGAGCTGATGGTCTCGTACTCTATAACATCAGAGGACCTGCTCAGAGCGCTGCCGGAGCTGTTGCAAGGCTCAGCGCTTCTATGGTACAGGAATTGCAAGGAGCTCCTGTATTCATTCGACGCTTTTCGGCATCAATTTGAGATCCAGTTCCTTCCACCTGGTTATCAGAGGAATTTGGATGAGGAGATCCGAAAAAGGACACAGGGTGAAGGCGAGCACTTCCGGGACTACGTTATTGCCATAAGTACCTTGCTTAGGCGTAGCGGTACGTTGTCGGAGCATGGTAGATTAGACTTAATCTACAGCAATATGCGTCCCGAGTACAAGCTGATGGTACGCCGGCGTGATTTCAGCAACCTGGCCGAGATGGTGGAGTTGGCTGAAGACTATGAGGCCTATCTGCGAGAGAAGGCGGCCTTCCGACCTCCTCCTTCACCGAATGTAGCGCTGGTTTTGGAAACCGCCTACGTTCCCAGGAAGAAAGCTGAAAAGAATCTTGAGACTGTCACGTTCGAAAGAGGTAGTTTTGAGAGACCGTCTCCTGAAGCCAAGTCAGTTGGGCAGCGGGTTAGTTCATACTCGATCGAGACTCGTGTACGAAGGCCCGCAATGACAAGGAAAGATGCTGATGGTGTACGGTGCTTTAGGTGCCAGGAGACTGGTCACTTTGCCAAAGAATGTGGCAAGCCGAGGACCGTCACCTGTTATGGATGTGGCAAACCCGGCATGACGGTGAATCAGTGTGGATGTCGTGCGGGAAACGACAGGCCAGCTCAGGCATCAGGAGGTCAACTGGGCAAGGCCACCCAAAACGAACGACCTCAGAATAGTGGTCCGTGTGGCTCGGAAAACTAATCAGCCTGGTTGGTGGAGTAGACGAGGACCGGCTGATTTCAGAGATAAGGCCCTTTGTTGAAGTTGTGCTGATGGGCAGCGTTTTCGTGGCGTTACTGGACACTGGGTCCGTCGTCAACTTGGTTGGGCGAGGAGTCGCCGAACATCTTCAATGTCAGGGGGTAGAACCTTTTAAGAAACCCTCTCCTCTAAGGATGGCAGATGGGTCACGGTCTAGAGCCGAGTATTCATTCCGATTGGCAGGTGAAGCTGCGGGGAGACGGTGGGTTGGAGACGCCTTATACGTTCCCACTCTTACCACTGATATGATTTTGGGTATGGATGTCATACGAGATCTCGGACTTGTGACGGTCGTGACGGAGGTGATAAGAATGGGCGTGGGTGATGACTGTTCTGGTCAAGGTGGCCGCATAGACAGTGTCAAAATTGGTGACGAAGACCCCGAAGGCCCTTGCAATGGAAATCCCCGTCTGGTTCCTGATGCCAAATCTTTCAGTACCATGTTGGCTGGTAGTGGCTAGTAGAAGAGTTTTTCTTTGTTTTGAGTTTGAGACCCGTGGTAAAAGAGGAATCATTGGGTTAAGAGCCGGAGTATTTTGTTTTGGCCGGAGTTCAAAGATTTTTTTTTCTTTTGGCCGTTTTCTTTTTTTTCATCCCGATGTAAGTGGGGGGTGTAACGAGCTATTTTCCCTAGGGGGGTATATTTTTGCTATTTGGCCGCGCCATGGTTGTTGAAGTAAGCAAGCGGCGGCGGCGAACCTGGCCAGCGCCCTTTGACCCGGCTTATCAGTTCGGATAAGCTTGGGTATCCTGGAATTACCGGACAGCCGAGAACGGACATTCTAGTCGTGGATCCCGTGCAGTGAAGAGCGAGCGTGTGTCTAGTGAGACGTCCAGTTGTGTACGCGACAGTGGTGTCGGAGTATGCTGGTGGTGTGATCGCGCCGAGTGTTGGTGTAAGTTGGGTACAGACCCACTATTGGTGAGTGGACGACGTTCCTTACATTTTGGTTTAAGAGCTGATAGTTGTTACTAAAACATTCATCTCTGATTTCATTGGTTGAGTTGTAACCGTGCTAGTCAAAGCCTGACGATAGTTAGGATTTATATTAGTCAGGAATAATATTAAAGTGTATTCCTGACGGTTCTGGGCAGGTGCTAGAGCGCAAATAATATAATTTAATTGACTGTAGTAGATATTATTTTGCGTTGTACCTAGAGTTAGTTATATTACTAATAACTCTGAGGCCCGACAAACCTAGGCTGCACGATTTAGCGTGCGTAGTTGGAAGCACGAGGCCAGTAGGCTAGTAGCTAATATTATTAGCCTATTAACAGAAGCCCAGCTAAGTAACATAAAGTTGGTAGTAGCAGTAGGGTTGGTATTGATTAATCATTTAATTATTTTAATTTAACCTGAACAGCTTGCTTAGTAATCCAACACGTTAGCTTGGTAGCTTGGATAGCGGAGTACCGGCTATCAGATAATATATTTATCTAGTGTTTGGAACGTATTTAATATTTATTTATCTGCTACTAAGTAGATCAATATTTTAATAGTGCAATTGCCATTTAGTTTTGCTTGTTTGGCTTGGTATTTATTGAGACCAGCTACTAGTGGTGTAGTCACTCTACCTATAGTGTACTTGTATATTATTATGTGGTACGATTATTGAGTGAACTGTTTGATTCTTAGCTTGGGCATTAGAGTTGTGTATTGCAGTTTAGTGGCCTAGTAGACCCCGCCTGGTGATAACTCGCGTTGTGGTTTTTATTGGCAAGTCGTCGTGTAACTCACCGTGTTTTAGGCACTCTGGGCTTAACTATTGGATAGTTAGGACGAAGCCCGAGTTGCGTAGTCAGCAACGACCCCCTAGGAGTGTGGAGAATCGGCGTAGGCCTGGTAGTGATTATTGCACGTTTGTTTTGGTGACTTGTTTTTGACTTGTTCACAGTGCCCGTGTATGAGCCAGTCCTATACCGGTTAGACCCGGCTTTTGGCCTAGTGGTTTCCCTGACCTTATCGCAGACCCTGGAACTTTACCCAGCCATTGTAGGCTGAGCTATCCCGGCAAACGGTGACGACTGCACTTTTAATATTTTTTTCCCCAGTGCAGAACATCTCGTCGCAGAAGAATGGAAGATGCGACAAAGTAGAGTGAACCAGCCGCTTCGAGCACCAATCAATCATCAGAATCATCAGGAATATCCACTTCAAGTCCGTAACAAAAATTATAGCCTATAGGATGTCTGTTCCCTTTCAGAAAAGGTTTGGGATCCCGAATATTCAAAATATTACTATGTATATTTTTTTAAGATTTGAAACAAGAACACCTACCAAAATTTAAGCACCTAAGTTCAACGATTCCTGACATAAATTTTATTTGAAATATTAGCCCATAACAGGCCTATGGTAAAAAAAACTTACCTTAGCGAAACAAGGAAGGTCGGTTTTCCTGAAGTCTTCGATTGAAGTGGAACTCTCAAAGGGTAAGCCGCACATGATAGCGTACACCATGCTGGGAGCTTCATTACGCTTATGTCGTCTGCGAGCCACAGCCAACACCCGGCCCCAGTGTCCTTTGTATGGGCCACTATGTATATCGCTCTCTGGAAACATGAAGTTGAGTAAGAATGGGAACACTATGAATGTCTTTGTTCTAATTTAAAATTTGTGTTCTGAAATGAACTACCGGTACGCTAACCATAGTTGTGCACATCATTATTTTAAGATTACAAATAATACAAATTACAATACCTGATGTTAACACAGCATCGTAGCTTTGAATGCTCGTCCAAACTTGCTCAGCATTATCTGGAGTTCCGAACAAATGAGTTGACAACTCGTACGTTTTGTTATAAAGACGATCACGTCCTATTGGCAACTTGCGGATGTACATTGCCAAGTTTGGCACGAGGACTTTGAAATCAATCCGTTCGCTTGGGAATCTCTGATGCAACATACGAATGTGAAAAGCCTGTTAACAAAGCAAGAAACGTGGGTTGTTTAAATAGTTGGGATGCTTTCATTACCAGGTATGAAAATGCTCAAGATTTTAATACCCTCGGTCAAACTTTCAAAGAGATTTGACGACTTGCAATGTTCAAGGGTTTGTAAAATATGGTACCACAGAAATGTTCTAATGATTATAGATTATTAAACGTGTAGGCCTATTACAAGCAATCATTACATTTTTGTATTAGGTACATATTTTAGGACAGTTTGCTTATTTATATTAGATTTTGAACAGTAGACATTTAGACAAAATAATAGGCCTAGTGTTTTTAGTTGGTATTTTTACATTGCATCCCTTGTTAAATCTAGTTTCAAATATTCTTTGTTTATTCAACAGTTTCTAACCATGAGTATGTTTATCCACTAGTCACATATGTCACCTTTTTATTCCCTAGACTTGCAGTAGGTAATGAAAATCTCTTCTATCTAAAAGTCTGAGCTGCATCTTTAGTAAAGATTAAAGATTCAAATAAAAAAAGTCGAAGCAGCCTTTTAACGCCAACAAATTATTTTATTTAGAGTACAAGATCACATAGTATATCATAGACCTGTATTGTTGGCAATCTAAATATCTTAGTCTACATTCCTAATTCCTATATGTATGCATACATCCTTCCTTTGAATATTATACACTAAGTTATTGGATAGTATCCAATAGTCAATCATCCTAGGCCTATCTAAAGTTCCTAGGATATTAATTTTGTAACGACACCTTGAAACAAGATGTGAGGATCATGACAGATCAAGAGAGGAACTAACTCAGAAAATCAACAAGAGAAATAGATAAAAAGATCCTGCTAGTGCAACAAAATAATTAATTATACAAATTACATTTCATCCAAAATTTAACTGATTTAGGCCTATTTTATCCTTACCTTGATGTCTTTGTGGTCTATGATATCGTTTCCCATCAATGTGGCCAATACAGGCAACTGGGTGACGTGAATTTTCAGGTAGTGAGCCAACGCTTTATGATCGTACAACAATGTAGTCATATCGTCCAATCGTAGTTTCTCCATTGATAAATACCACGCTTCCCTCTTGTCTAGTACGACAAAGTCAGTGTCTTGGCCGAGAATGGCAAAAGCGTTTTTTGTCCTGGCATAGTGAGCGATCTCCTCGTCACATTCGTTTAGAGATATGAATACCTGCAACGAGAGATGCTTGGATTGTCGAGGAAAATATTGGATGTACAATATCACAGGAAACCTACTACTATATCCCAGAATGCTAACCGCATGGTAAAGAGCCTTAAGTACTCGGAGAGAGCTTTGCCTGTCAATTCGTAGGCAGCGCCACCAGTGTTATATTGCACCAGGATAGCAACAATGGTGGCGCTGCCTACGAATTGACAGGCAAAGGGCTCTCCGAGTACTTAACGCTCTTTACCATGCGGTTAGCATTCTGGGTTTCTATAGTAGTATGTTTCCTGTGACAGTATGCTTAAATCTATACTGGCTTCGGTTTTGACCACCATGGGGCTTCATGAGGATTTAATTTGCTAACATTCAAGACAATAATCAGCTTTTTTCTTTTGCATCCGGTTGTAAGTTTTTATTTTATTATTTAAATTGAATTTTTATAATTATGTTACTATGATTATATGCAACATTAACTAAAGAATATCGGTAGCCTACACATTAACGAAAACTGTGGTTTTAATTTTCTCTAAAATTTTGTAGAAATGTTTTTCTAATCTGTATTATTCGCTATCATAAACTATCCCTCATCATCATCATTATCATAAACTGCTTAGTAGTTGCAGTTTATGATAATTAGTTATGTAAAAAGTTCAAACATGTTCATCAAAAAGTACATAAACTGAACTTTACATTGATTAAAAACTTTCTTTAGGATATGGTAGACTATTAAACTAAAAAAAAACATGGAGAACTAGATATAGTACTTAATGCATTGGCCTACCTCACATCCACATATCGTCTCAAAAATAACTCGGGACAGCTGTCCCATCCCTGGTGGCAAATGGAAATGTGCCCTCCTATCAATTTGACTTGATGGAACCCCTTCTTCTATGGCATCGAGTACATGATACATTGAACCCAGTTTACTAAGTCGTCTTTCAATCCAAGTTTTTCGCTTTTGTTCTACAGTTGGTCCATCAAAAAAGAATACAAGCCGCACTCCCAATCTGGCAAACTGGTTGACGAAAAATTGTGCCTTTTCTCCATATTGTTTCAGCTGACCACCTCCAATCCATTCTAGATCTCCGTACAAATGGCGTATACAGGAATTTCCATCTACTACAATAACTAACTCTTGATCGAAGGGCAACTGGTACCAATTTCTGAGACAGAAAAAAGTTTATGTAAATTAACAGTTAAGCTATACAGAATAGCCTTTGTCAATGGTAGACTATATACTGTTTATAGACAAAAAGTACACGACGCATTGATATTATTTAAAAAACAGGGTAAATTAATATATACTACATAACTGTAATTTTCTAACTTAAATGTCATTATTAGATTAACTATATATTAAACAAACTACACGCATCAGATTACAACAAGATAGTTTAGGAAGATTAATAATTAAGGATCCTAAATAAATAAATAACAGTTTATTTTTCTGATCAACCTATCGGTTACAGTTTCTTAACTGGGCTAGGCTAATATTGATTCAATAAGTAAGCCTTCATTAGATTTTTTTTATTATAAGCAAGTTTGGTTAGATATGTTAGGTTATGACAGTTTAATTTTATACATGAAATGTTGAAAATATCAATTAGGCCTAAGTATTAATCAATATTTTCAATTGATAGTTTCAATCGATATTAGCGTAGCACAGTTAAGAAACTGTACCCCAACTATCTTCTTTAGCTAGAAACAAATTACCAAAAGCACAATGACAGTTTAGATTAATGGGTTTTGAATAGATACCTACAGTGTTTAGATTTAGGGCTGCACTTTACTTTACGTCCTACACTCATTCGAATGAAAGTATCAATCGATATATCAATTATTCGATAGCGATTAATCGATATTACGATTACCTACTCACTATTTCGATTGCAGTATTCTATAGATTATTGCATTGTCTTTGTTTTAATAAGTTATTTACATTTTTGTTTATTTCATTGTTTTTGTTTATATAAACTTACAGTAAGTCATTTTTAAAGAACTTCACCATGAATTATCGAGTATTTTATGTAATCCTGAAAAATTTGTCAAATGGATGCAAGATCAAGGATTAGTAGGCTACCTGATACTCCTAAATGTGACGTCCGTAACAAATAGGCCTAGGCCTATATGAAAGTTAGAATACAAGGTGAAAATCAGGTAGATTTTAGATGTGTCAGAAACGATCTAAACCACACTCACTAAGTTATCTATAAATGCATCAAAAAACACCTTTTTTGGAAATTCTCACTTTTGATTTTTAAATATTTTGACATTAATGTAGCCTACTCCTGGGAGATTTTAACTAGCCTAACTTACATTTAGTATCTAGAATGGGGCTATTATTTAAGTTTGGTTTTTGTTTGGTTTTTCTATCCTATGATAAACTAACTTGGTATAATCATAATTAAAGCTGATTTAACTTATAACTTAATTTTAAAGGAGGCCGATATTAAAAATCATTCGATATATCGATCGATATGTTCATTCCAAGAGGGTAGGACGTAAAGTAAAGTGCAGCCTTTTTTAGTGATTGTGTCACGCTTAAAACTTATCACTTTAAGCCCAACACAAGCCTAAAAATTGTTCCCATCAAATAGCAAATACCTAGCTAGGCCTGGCCTACCTATATTCTTGAACCATATCTTCTATACTGACTCGCTGAGATGCAGGTTGACAACATTTTTCCAAGTAAAACTGAAGTCCTCTAATTCCCATTTGTACTACTATTGGGGGGCAAAAGGAACCTCATAGGAACTGTAGGCTTACTACTAAATTAATTTAGTTGGGCATTATTTTCTGTAACTATTGCACCCAGACAGCCCAAAGCCCTATAAACATTGACTACCTCAAAAAAACAAACCCTGACACAATAGAATTCTTAAATATACTAACGGAACATAACCTGAAACCTATTGAGGTTGAACCTACCAGAATAACGTCCACATCTGAGACATGTATTGATTGGTGCTGTACAAATGTTAACCTATCAAAACTTAAAGTATCATCTATCTGGAACTCAATTTCTGACCATCAGGCTTTAAAGTGTATAGTGGAAGCAGTTAAGATGAAAACTAACCCCCCCATCAAAAGACTAACCAGAAAAATAACAACTTCAAAATTGGATGAGCTAAAAGTATCACTTGGAAATCAAGACTGGTCATACATATATACAACTCTGGATGTGAATAAAAAATATAACTACCTAGTGAAAACTATCCAAGGAAAAATAGAAGAAATCATGCCCAAAACCTACAGAGCCTATAATAACAAAAAAAATAAAAAAATTTTTTGGAATGACAAGCTTGTAAAATTGAGATCTACTTTACGTCAGGCAGAACAAAAATATTTATTGACGAATAAAGATGAAGACAAGGAACTACACAAAAGGCTGAAAAGATACTATGACTTGGAAATTAAATTTCAAAAAAGTAACTCAATAATTGAGAAAATAAAGAATGCCCCCAATAAAAATAAAGAACTTTGGACAGCCATAAATAGAGAAAGGAATCCCAATAAAAAACAAAACGAAGGGATAAAATTAATAGATGAAGACCAACTTATCAGCGACCCTACCAAGATATGTAAATTATTCAACACTCACTTCATCACTCTTGGCAAGAAAAAACCTACAGAGACCCTAAATACTGATTTTGACAACCTACCGGACATGACACTACCCAAACCAGACTCTCTATCAGAATTCAAAACCATAACCAAGAAAGAGCTTGAACAAATGATATCTAAGCTACCCCCTAAAAATTCCTCAGGGATAGATGAGATAACAAACAAAATGGTAAAGCATTGCAAAAATCAGATAGTTGAACCACTTTTAAATGTAATAAATGCATCAATTAGACAAGCAACAGTACCAGACCTAGCCAAAATAGCCTTAGTCTATCCAAAATTCAAGAAAGGAGAGAAAACAAATATATCAAACTATAGACCAATATCTATCCTTCCAACACTGTCTAAATACATAGAAAAAAGCATACATACCCAATTGATGAACTTCCTAGAAAATAATAATAAAATTTCTCAATCACAGCATGGATTTCGGAATGGTAAATCCACCAACACTGCATTAGCAACCCTTTGTGACAAAATAACTGATATATGGGAAAATAAATCTCAAGCAACCGGTATCTTCTTGGACATAGAAAAAGCATTCGACAGCTTGGACAGAAAAATTCTTATAAAAAAACTTCAACAACTTAATATCACTCATAAAGCATTAGATTGGATACAAGACTATTTAACTAACAGGAAGCAACAAGTCGAAATAGAATACACAAAGAACTACTATGAAATTAAATACAGGTCTAAACTTCAGACAACCAATCAAGGAATTCCACAGGGCTCCATACTGGGCCCCCTACTTTTCTTAACATACATAAATTCTTTTCCCACCAATTTTACAGAAGACAGTGCCTGTATAATGTTTGCAGACGACACAACAATCATCACACCAACAGATGGAAAAAACGTAGAACTTCAAAAATCCAAAACAAACGAAACCCTACAAATCTCTACAGCTACTTGCAACGAAATAAACTTAACAATAAATAAACAGAAAACAATAGTAATAAACTTCAAACCTACAAACCATAACAATGAAAATTCAACTGCAGATGAACACTCACAAACTAACACTAAATTTCTTGGAATAATATTGGACAAAAACCTAACATGGCATGATCACCTTCTAAAACTGGGTGGAAAGCTGTCACAAGTTGTATATGCATTAAGAAGAATTAGAAGACTAACAAACAAAGAAATCACTATAACTGCTTATCATGCAATTTTTTCATCACATATCAGATATGGCATAATAGCCTGGGGCTCTGCAAATGAAATCCACATCGAGAAAATAATAACCTCACAGAAGAAAGCGATTCGGATAATAGAACAAATCGATCAAGATGAACCACAAGCCCACTGCAAACCTCTTTTTATCAAAAACCAAATCCTAACTGTAATCTCCCTTTACCTTTTTGAAACTATTACCTCAATCAAATTAAATTCTCCCCAACTCAGAACCCAATGTCACAACTACAATATCAGAAACAAAACAAATCTAGACTTAGGGTACCATAGGCTAAACAAAACCAGCAAAACTCCAAACAACATGGGGATCAAAATGTTTAATCTCTTGCCAAAGAAACTCAAAGAAATAAATGAAAATAAAGCCTTTAAAAAACAACTCAAACAATACCTTATTGAACGTCCATATTATAAATTAACTGAATTCATCAACGAACACAAATATAACCTAAACAATAAATAGGAAAGCAATGCTCAATTACACTCTCACACACATACACTATTACAAGAAATTGACGATTCCCCTGTCTACAAGGACGGCGGAGAAGACATCGATGGTAAATGGTAAATGGTAAACTGTACAAAGCTAAAATATATACATCAATACTATGGACTGGTAGCTATAGAACAAGTTATTGTACATTTCTGTAAATTTCTTCGTCCTTTCTGTTTCTTCTATTTACATAACCTCTGACAAAACATAAACAACAACAAACTCTGGCGCAGACAAATTGAAAACGCACAACTGTAACTGAACAGTGAACACTCTGAAGTCTGAACTGAAACTGAACTGCAAAAGATGTAAACAAATACAAAAACAAAACCAAACCAGAAAAAAACTAATAAACAACAACAAATAGAAACTAAACGAAACAGACAGAAACAATCACTCTATTACTTAAAAAAATCACCGTTGGTTAAAAAATCTCCAACTTCCAAGGTGAAAGAGCAATGGCTTACTTTGGATTTTATCCATGAATATACTAATAATTTCACTTAAAAGGATATTATTGCTAAAATAAATCAATCAATATCAAGTAACATATACCATTTACTCTTATACTTAAAGTAATTTAGTGCGTAGATAAAAATTCAGTGGAAGTAGATCTCTCATTAGTTGTAAAACCGCTTAACTGTTATTTTTGTATTATTTTATTTGTGTTGTCATTTTTACCGAGGATACATATATTTCATTCTCGTTTTTTTAATCTAGTTATTGTATTCTATTCTGAGTGTGTTTATACAATTTTGTAAATTAATTAAACCCGTTTGAAAATAGAATTAATAGTTTTTTCTGCTTTAAACTTGGTGTGCTTGTGGCTTGTGACGTTTACTCAACTTTATTTTCCACGAAGATTTTATGATTTGTGCTATTCTGTTTGGTTACTATTGCAGAGGAAATGCTACAGTTTATAATTAGATAGCCTAGTAATAAATAATTTTAAAATATTTAAGTTAGGCCTATGTCAAGTGAAAAAAATCACAAAAAGTAAATAAACAACAAATTGCCCAATAAATCTATGCTAGAAACTGCATAAAAAGGAAAGTCTTCTTGCCACGGCCGCCTTTAGTGGACGTGCTTCTTCACGGCCGCCTTTAACTACAGGCCGCGGCCTGGTAGGATTGGCAACGTCGCAAGTGGTGTCGTTCAGTGACAGACGTCCCATAAGATTACATCTTATGATCGATCTACATCTTGGAGGCAATTTCCTACACAATTAAGGTCTCTTCGTCGAAGCATGTTGCCTTCCACAGTTATGATACGAGGCACAACGAGGACTTCCATCTGCCCTCCCACAGAACATCACTCTTCTCGAAGAAACCTTCGTATGCTGGAGCGAGGTTCTTCAACCTTCTTCCCGCTTCCCCAGATTGTCAAAGAGGGCTCACCTATAACGTTGAGAAGGCGAATTCGGAATTGGCTTGCTGACTACCCAATTTACAGCCTTGAGGAGTTTACGGCCCGTGCAAGACCCCATCTACGATTGGACTAAAAATCTTATCATGTAAATAAAATAAAGAAGAAAAAACAATTGTATTGACACCATTCTGTGCTTGATGCTCACGAATAAAGTACTCTGTATTCTGTATAAGATAAAATTGCAGACAGGTGACATAAGCTCATTATTTCTCACTCTATTGATTTAAATTAAAATTTATGAACATAAATTTATTAAAATATTGAAAATAAAACATACAGAACTGAAAACCGAAACAATATTATTTAAAATCTATATCTGTACATTTTTAAGCGGAGTCAATATGGTCATAGTCCAGTAATCAATCTTTCGTAAATACACAAATACAGTATCATTAGCTGCTTCCAAACAAAACAGCTGTTACAACACCACTTGCGACGTTGCCAGTTCGAAGGCCGCGGCCTGGAGTTGAAGGCGGCCGTGGCTTCTTGCACTGTTTAAAATCAATGGCTAAGTTTTGTTGTTTGGAGATCTGAATCAGAATCGTTTGAAATGAATGACTCGGCTAATTTGGATGATCGATCTCAACTCAATCTCACTCAGTCTCCGCTCTCCTCTCCCTCTCTGAATTAAACTGAAAACGAATTACGATACGATAACTGAAGTCTGCTCCTGCTGATTGCTGATCGTCGGTGGATTTGTGTTATTGAATCTCGATGTTGCAATAAATCGTAGCCTAAAGAAATATTGAAAATAATTTAACAGTTTGTTTTCTTTACCGGTCCAAAAGAGGGACAAAATGTTCTCTTCCCGGTGTTGGAGTTTGATTTTCGTCACTTTTACTTTATGGTGTTTATGCTCATGTTCTCTTGTAAGGTAAGTTTCTTCAACTAGGCCTAGTTTAATGGAAATAAATTCATTAAAGTGGTACAGTTTCTTAACCCTTTGAGTGCCGGAGACTTTATGTCAGGTACTACACTAAAGTGCCATGTGAGTTATAACTAGGCCTACCCAAAAATGCCGGGCCCTTTTTGTGGCTTTTAGCAATACTTCAGTATAAACGCTATAACTTTTTTATTTATCAACCAATTTTATTAATTTTTTTTTTATTTACAGAGAAATAACTACTCTACAATATAACACAATTTATAAGTATATTTCATGCAGCAGGCAGTGTGAAAATGATGAAAAATACATACCTTGAAAAGTTTTTTCAAAAAACTTCCATATTCAATGCTGTGTTTCATGTGAGAAAAAAATGTTTCACTCAATAAAACTCATACCACTCTGTTTTATATTTAACTGCCAACAAACATTCCAAGTTTCATGAGAAAATAAAGTCAAATAATGAGGTAACAACGTTTTTAGTAGTATCATACATTTTTCCTCGGCAGCACAGATATCACACACTAAAGTCATCATGGCCTCTTAGTCCTATTCTACAAATAATTTGGCCTAAACTTATACAATAAATTATTTTAGTGCCAAATCTGAATGATAAAATAATAAAAAGTCATTTTGAGTAAAATAATAACATACAAAAAATATTTACAATAAGGCGATACTGTTGGCGAACATGTTTTAGCATTGGTGTTGAGTGACACACTTATGGTGCAATCCTTTTTTGCACCTTTTGCACATAAATGTGGATTTCTTTCTCCTTCCACCTTCTCTTGTACTTGATTTGCTGCAAACACAGCAGTTTTTTTCCCGGTTTTCTGGAATTTTTTCGACTAATGGGCTGTCTGCGTCGCCACCACCGCGGGAGATTCTGGTCGGAGTTATGTTAGTTATGTCAGTTATGTTGGGTCTCATTTCTTGGATAACTAACCATTCTTTGGCCAGTTCCTCTACAATAAATATACTGTAGGCCAGCCTGTTCATTGGTTTATCAGTGTTAAGTTTGTACAGCAGGTAGGAGTTGAGGAGCATACGGCTAAAAATATTAAACGTGACCTTCTTCCAAAATTTTAAAGTTTTTCTGTCATCTAAGTATTGGTAAAGCATTTGGTCACAGCCATCTACTCCCCCCATGAAGTCATTATAGTTTCTAATTACTTTAGGCTTATTTGTGACATGAACTGACGTCCCCCTTACCCTTGCCCTTCGCTCACTCTCTGCTTTGCCATTGGTTGTTAGTAATAGGACTTGGTTTTTCTGTGATTTTTTTGCCTATATCCTACCATTAAGAGGTTGTCTTTCCTCAAATACTTTTTCTGCCCTACTTCAAATTTCTCTTTCATTACTTCTGGTATTCCTTTTCTTTTCTTTCGCAATGTACCTGTGAGGTTCGTTGCCTGAGTAAGCAAAAACTTTGCTAGTTTTATTGTGGTAAAAAAATTATCCACAAACACGTGGTACCCCTTGCCAAGTAAGTTTGTCATCATCAGTAGTTTCTCAACAACATAGAAACCAAGGCCCTTCTGTGTTATTTCCCTTTTGTCAGGTCCTTTAGCTCCACGATACATAAAGAAGGACATACAGTAGTGTGTGACAGAATCACAAATGCACCATAATTTAACGCCCCACCGATGTCTCTTTTTGGGCAAATACTGTAACAACTGGGAGTGGGCCTTGGTGCTTACCATGCTCTCATCAACTGAAAGGTTCTCACTAGGAGTAAAGTGAAACCTAGATACCCTATTCATGTGGTCAACTATTGGTTGAAATCTAGCGCACGGGTTATACCCAGGTTCGCGCGGACGAGGCAGTTCTGTTGTGTCAACCAAGTGGAAAAACTGGAGGATTGCTTGAAATCTGTTCCTATTGAACATTCTTGGAAACCAAGGCATAAACTGACTGCTAGTCCTTGACCAATAGCAAAATATTGTAGGTTTTACATTTAGGCCCATATTTAGTAGCACTGCTACAAAAGCTTGCATCTCGATTCGAGTTACCGGTCTCCAGGACTTGGCCCTGCTATGTTCTTTGAGTTGGTGGGCATTTGCAGTAATAAAATTATTAGCAAATTTGTTTGTATATTTTACTAGCATATCAAACAAAGAAACAGTAAAAAATAGTTTGAAATAATATATTGGAGATGAATTCCTAGGGGGGCAGTGTTTCACGCCAGACAATTCATGAAAAGTAAACGGATTATTGCCACCAGGGTCATTTTCTTCATTTACTTCTGTCCAACCAGTTCCATCCTCACTATCCTCATTATTTTCAAGATTTTGTTCTTGGTTAGGTGCATCTAACCTAGGTCTACCCCGACGTCTTGGTGCAGGGTTTGGTGCTGGCATAGGCCTAGGATTATCCACTCTATCCTCCTCCTCATCTGTTGAATAATTATTATTACCAAAGGACTGTAATATCCTATCTATCCTACGTTGATTGTTACCTTCATAGGGGTCGTAATCGGGGTCACTATCGGTATCATCCACAAGATCAGAAATTGAGTCACTGTCAGATTCGGCACCAGAACTACTTTCAATTTCAGAAACCTCACTCACAAAACTATCATCTAAAAAGTCGTCATCTAGAGTTCTTGCAATTGCATTGTCACTTAGTGGAGATCTAGATCGATCCATTACTAATAATCAATAACAAAACATCTCGTAAAAACACCGCACATAACCAAACACTTGTTTACAGACAGTGAAATACGATGTCAACAATTACGCGCCAGCTGTGACAGCCATCTTGATCTCTGTGTTACAACATATGAAAACGTAGTACTATAACAAGTGAATGATTACAATTATCGCCGATTCAACGCATTATTTACAAAGAGGAAGTCTTTCTCTTTCAAAAGAATATAAAATATGTGCATATAATCGTCTTTTTCACGTTTTAATATCGCGTTTTTCAAACGTCCGGTTCGTTCTGAAAACGTCCGGTCACCCGGACGTTGGCACTTTTGGCTCGTTCTAAAAACGTCTGGTTCCCCGGACGTTGGCACTCAAAGGGTTAACTGGGCTATGCTAATACTGATTGAAACTATCGAATTGGAAATATTGATTTTAATAATCGATTAAATTAATCTATCATAACCTAACCTAACCAACCAAACTTGCTGATAGTGAACAAAATCGCTTGAAGGTTTACTTATCGAATCAGTAGTTTCAATCGATATTAGCATAGCCCAGTTAAGGAACTGTACTCAAAACATTTTTAATTACAATACAGCTGGTATTCCCAAGCCAATAAAAGTCAACAAAAAACCTAGGCTTAACATTTTGTAATACTATGGTGGGCCCAGGGGTAAAGCTAGTCAAAAGTCACCATCATCCTATAAGGCCTAGGGTAGACCTTCCATACGAGCGTCGGGTGGTGGCCAGCGAGCTGCAACCTGAGCTTAGTTTAGCCTACCTACTTGTACAGGTGGTGGGTAGGCCTAAGATAAAGGCGGCCATTTTCTTAACGCTTAACTTATTGAATTTCCCTGGTTGTATTTAGGTGTGCAGAACTGCAGGATGAATTACAGTACATATAATTTTACTATCCGACAATTGTCTGTTAAAAAAAATTTAGTTTAAGTTATAGGCCTAGGCCTAAGAGGCGTAGGATACAATAACTTACTTAGGCTATATAGGTAGCCTATATACCTTTAAGTTAATTTAAATGGCAACCATAAGAAGGTAGGTATTGTATGTAAGCCAAAAATGAATTGAGATGAGTGGCACGATCTTGGAGTCATTGTTAGTGATTAAGGCCGACATCCAGCCAATGGCAATTAAGTGACCTATAATTTATAGTGGGATCCGAACCACACTTTTGCAAAGTTGTAAATGACTTCTTGATCAGCATTGTACGTGTTATTAAATTTATGGAAGTAAATATAAAAGAAACGTCTTATAACTTAACACCTAAAATGTATAGCCTATTGTTTCTTTTATTTAACCTACTTTCCGCAAAGTTGTAATCTACGAATTAGTCTAATTATCAGGATAGTACTCGGGATAGTCATAGTACCGGTACCTAAGTTAATCACTATAAAGTGTGGACGTTATCCACAGTTAACTTAGTGACCCCCAAGTACCTAGCCGGATTTACGGGATGACCCCATGGTCCCAGTCATGGATAGTGTCAATGAGAGTAGGTCTAAATTAGGCTACAACCGATAAATACCCCCGCCGCAGCAAACCTGCCGACTAAGCGAATTTCCATTTGTCTGAATTGATTTTCAGTTAAATATATTTTAATAACATTAGGTTTAACGAGTACCTAGGTTTGCTGCTACAAGGAAACTAATAAAGTGTGTTTTTGAGTTAAATATTGATAGCTTAGTACAAAATAAATAAATTTGCCAAGTTTGATCAAAATATATCTATAAACAAGCAAACTACAACATTTGACAATATTCTCCATAAGAATAACATGGGAATTTTAAATTTACAATTTGTTTTATTTTCTCCGTTACTAATAATCGAACAAAAATACTTTTATATACTAAATTTTTTTTTTTTAAGCTCTTTAAAAAGGTCTAAAGAGAAATCGGGAAATTTTGTGTTTTGAGGGTCAAAAGTGAGAAAAACCAATTTTTACCCCATAAAACCCCCCGTAAAGCCCCGTTCCCATGGTCCGATCGTGCTGGTTCGCGAACTCATTCAAGTTTATCCCGCTTTACACCTTTAAACCAAATTTCATCAAAATCGGACAAAAATTACTCAAGTTATCGCGTTCACGGACGTATATATATATACTAGCTGACCCGGCGAACTTCGTATCGCCTAAGTTATAGGTTTCCCCTAAGACAGACCGATGGAAAGAAAGTACCGTTACGTTTAATTTTCAAGATGATCTCGTTCGCATCGCTCAATCACGTCCTTGTTGAAGTTCGTTCGCTACGCTCACTCACCTTTGGGTTGGAGCTCGTTCGCTACGCTCACTCACCTTTAGGTTGGAGCTCATTCGCTGCGCTCACTTGCCTTCAGGTTAGCTCGTTCGCTACGCTCACTCGCCTCCAGGTTGGAGCTCGTTCGCTGCGCTCACTTGCCTTCAGGTTAGCTAGTTCGCTACGCTCACTCGCCTCCAGGTTGAAGTTCGTTCGCTACCCTCACTCACCTTTTGGTTGCAAATTAGCTGTTGTCATAAATGTAAAAGAAATAATAGTGCTGCACCCTGTTGGTAATCCTTGTAACTTTAATGGCTATTGAACATCATAGAACAGAACCAACTTGTTTAATTGAAACAGCTGTTAAGATTCATTAATTCCATTTCTCATAAGGTTAACATGGGAATCTCCAGAGCCACTGGGGCGGAGCCCTTTTAAGAATTTCGAAACGGGAAATAGTTTACGTCCGATTCGCATACCTACAGAATTTAAACACCAAATTTCATAACGATCGGTGAAGTCGATCTGGAGGAGTTTGCAGACAAACACTGTGACACGAGAATTTTATATATTAGATATATGTCTATATATATATATTATATATACATATATAAAAATTTGAACGAATGGTGTTTTTGGCCTCTGGGGACATCAAAATGAAAAAGTAAATCGGTCCCGGGTCTAGGTCTTACCGTGCCACCTACGGTAATAGCTACTTCCCTATAGGGAAATTCTCTACCGTAACAAGAGGAGAAGAGTGTTTGATGAATATATTCAATACCATCATCTAAATTCTGTAACTTAAGGAAGATGATGATAGGTTCTTTGAACACACGAGGAAATCCATCCCTAACTTACTTTCGAATTAATATTGAGCAGATTGAAATGGAGTATTGAGAATAGAAGGGCAGGTTTACAACAGCACTGTATGGTTTACAGAAAAACTTAAGCATCTCTCATGTTAGTGGAATTTTGACGAAAATGGGTCTCGACTTGACACCAAACTTAAGTCCGCTTTGTGGCACCACTTATTGTCGCTCACCGCTCAGATAAATTGTAACTAAGCCATTTTCAACAATTTTACTTGCAATGAAACCCTATATCTCAGAGCAGCGCCACTTGTATCGTACATGAGGCCTTAGGCAAAGATAATTTTTTTAATAGTCCTATTAATTTTTTTGCTTATTTTCATCATTGACATTTTACATGTTTTTTGGGGGCTAAAAACTTTGATATCTTACTCCATTTAGTATTTATCAAAAATATTGATTCAAAAACTATTGGTAGACCTACGATATTCTCAATGGTAGCAATCTAGGCCTAAATTAAATAACAGTTCCTTTTTTCTGGATTTTTGTGCCAGAGACATTTTGTTTCAGAGAGCAAGTTAAGTTCATTTCAGAGAGTAAGGTTACTAATGTTTTTAACAAAAAAGGGATAGTAGCCTATTCTAAACTCATCTAACTTAATTGTTGTGGTTATTCTTGAGAATCCCTCCCACACTGAAGTCCAAGACAGTAACCCCTAGGCTACCAACACAATATAGCCTATGAGGGTGACTCAGAAAAACTTAAATACAATGTTATTTGTTTATAAGCTTACAAATCTACATTCTACACTCATCCTTCACTCATATTTGGATTAAAATACGCACCTAGAAGGCGTTCCCATCTCAATGATTGATTGATACTCTCTGATACAGGACTTTGGGTTATTTTCATTGCAGGGTTCCATTGTACAAGTTCCAGTCTGTGAGAGACCAATTACGAGATGTCGGAACAGAGATGGCCAATATTAGGATCCGCTATGGAGACGGCCCACAACCCGAGCCACTGTCCAACTATCTCGATGTATGTTTTTAATAATATTTACTATTTGTTTTTTATAATGAGTAGGCCTAGTGTTAAAGTACTTTATATCTAATAAGATTTTTAGAGTTAAGATCTAATAAGTTTTGTTAAGTATTGTTGCCTATGTTCTTGATTAAAATGTTTATGTCACCCAATGCATCTTGCCACCTTGCGTGGTATCTTCTTGAGCTATTTGTTAAAAGACGATTGTTTCTGTATTTACAAAAATATTTACATAGGTACTATCGCTGTCAAGTCAAGTGAACAGCATGGCAACAGACACATGGGGAAGTGTTTAGCATGTGGTTGATTTGTTTGAATAATTTATTTTATGTTCTGTGTCTTATTAGTAAAATAATTTATTTTACATACATATTTAAACAACTGACTTAGTCGTATGCAAGTGAATCAGTTAAACTCAAATTTTTCCAAAGCAGCAAAAGTATTGTCTAAAATGTAATTAACTAAAATTACTCATCAATTGCCTAAAAAACAGTTCTACCTGATTATAATGTTCCTTGTTTTCAGGCCCAGTACTTTGGACCCATTTCTATTGGATCTCCGCCCCAGAGTTTTAAAGTGGTGTTTGATACTGGCTCCTCGAACTTGTGGGTTCCCTCGAAGAAGTGCAGCATCATGAACATTGCTTGCCGTGAGTCTGCTGGCTTTATTTTTCTAAAAATATACGATCCCACAAAGATAATTTGTATGCGGTCAAACGGCTTGTCCAACGAAATATAGTAGATCAGATGATACTCGTCTTCTCCATAGAGATAAAGTTTATAGGAAACAACTGTCAATTATTGTTAGAAGTAAAATTTTTGCCTACAGTTGAAGGCTTTAAAATGTCAGTATATAATTCAAATAAAGTAAACATATAAAAGTCAACATTGCCAGTAAATTCATAAAATTGGGTCTAACTGAAAATAAACCGATTGCCTCATTTTTAACAGCTTGCCCCCTTTATTTTGGTTAATTAGGTATCTTATTATTATTTACACTCTAAACTTGATAGGCTATACACAATTTTATACACTGCAATTCAAAATAGTAAAATTAACTATTTAATTGATAGATAAATTTAAAGAATATTTGTACAAAACCAATTCTTGTTTGCAGTATGGAATTTTCTTGTCGTAAACAATTTTCTCTTCATATTTCTTGATTAAAAATGTAAAAGGCATATTTTAATTGTAATTGGACATCTTTGATCATTAATTTACTATTGAATCAGTTTTGCAGCCACGACTTGTTATGATTTCAGCATTGTTGACATTTGAACTGAGATAAGGATGATCTGGTGCTATCCAAAGATTATAGAATTTACTATAAATAACAATTACACTAAAAACAATTATTATTATGATTTCTAAGCCGTTATCTTATTGCATCTCTCGAGTGCACATGTGAATTAAAATTATGTTTCACTTTTAAAAAACTAGCCTACTTCTGTTATCAGAATCACATGGCCCTAATTCACTTTCTTTTATTGCCCTTATTGATGATGTTACTGTACTGTATTAAATCTTGACATTCAACAAACATATTATAATTGTGTGAGAATTTAAACAAGTAGGTTAATACAAAGAGACAAAACTAATAATTAATCTGGTTACTTTTAGTTTTTAACATTTAAGTACCTATTTATTTTATGGATGAAAATTTAACCCTGACAATTTAGGATCAATACATGTGCACAATTATAAGGTTGTGTGCCTTGTTTGGGTTTAGGGGAATCAGGAAGACAACATATGGCTTCCCTAACAATCTTAGAGTCAATACTATTAACATAGAAATATAAAGTAATTAACCTATTTTTCACCACACTATGATGTTTTTGGCTGTATTACATACGTTAATTGGTGGCTGAAAGTTACGTTTTGCTGGCCATGCCAGCTGTCATCGTAATTTGGGGACCGAGCAGGTTTTTACATCCCGGGGCCGCAAAATCAGCTGTCCGCTTGCAAATTAATTACACAAACAGTATCCATTCCATAGCATTAAAATAGAATTGTTTTATTTTCACCATTGCCTAGTAAATGTTTATTATTATTTTTGCTGATTCCTTAAATTACTTCTTCACATGACCTTAAAGTTGTGTTGACTATCAGTTTTTATTAGTATCATTGTGATTAGTTAGTAGTTTGGTGAAAAATAGTGTTCGTACCACGGACCGAAAATGGTTTTGCAGCTCTCAATCGATTTAAGTTCTCGACTTCGTCTCGAACTTAAGAACTATCTCAAGCCGGCAAAACCTCGTTTTCGGCCCTAGGTACGAAATATACTATTATAACAGTTGATTTTTAGTCATTGAAAAATAATGTTTAGTCACCAACAGTATTAGGTTCTTGGGAACTGTATATTTTTAATGTTTGTTGATTTTGCAGAAGTTCATCTAGGGTTGTGCTGTCTGTATTGAACGATTGTATCAACAAATGTATATCCCAACTCAAATTTGTAAAAGTTTTCTTTGAAATCTTTGTTAAATTAATTTATTATCTTTACAAATTTGACAGTTTACAGACTTAATCACTAGTCATTTTCTTCCATAATTTACATGTGGTTATTAACTGGTATATGTAATATCTGAATTGTTTTGCAATTCTGCCAAAAAAAATAATTGCTAATTAAACACCTTTTCTGTTTTATTTTACAGTACTCCACAACAAGTACAACAGCAAGACTTCCTCGACCTACAAACCTAACGGACAGAAGTTTGAGATTCACTACGGCTCGGGTAGTTTGTCTGGCTTCTTATCAGAAGATGTGCTCACGGTGAGTTTATCCTTTTGGAGGAATGCAAATGTAGCTCTTAAATTAGGTTTCTGTGGGTTTCAACAGTTTGGAACGTTCTCATTGTGAAGAATTAACCAACTTTGGATGAATTGCTTAATTTTTATTCCTACATGCAAAGTTGGGTTGAATAGTTGATTCGTACGGGATAAAAGTTTGCAATTGTGTTAGACTAAAATCAAGTTTTGTGATGTTAATTCGTTGATTTATTATTGGTAGTCAAATTTAGGACAGTAATATCACAATTGTACAATCAAACATTTATCAATGCTCTTTCTTTAAAATCCTTTTACGATAAGTCTATAAAAAATGTTATCGATTCTGTTCTATATAGATAAATCAAAAATGTACGGATGTGAGTAAATTTGTGATTAAAACTTAAGACTAGTTTAGTAGTTTTCTAAAAAAAAAAAAAAACTACTGAAAAACAAGAAATGAGTCCAGTTAAAATTTAAATTACTTTAAGTTTGGTGCAGTACACTAGAAGGTTAGTCCAGGCAAATTAGATCAAATATAGGGTGTGCTCCCCAAAAAATCGTCTAAATCTGGAAAGTGTTTTAATACCTTTTGGGGGTCCCAAATAAGACTCCTGTGAGTTTGCGACGGATTCTGAAGTCTGCTTAAGTTTTGGGAGTCGAAAAACTATGAAAATTTTGCACTTTTTTCAGTTTTTTGCTTATAACTCCTAAATAACGAATCTTAAGGAAAATGTTGTTCAAGGGTGTCTTTTAGTGAATTTAATTTCGTGTCGATTGGTGTTAAACACGTTAAAATCGGCCGAGCCGTTTAGCCGCTGTAGCTTTTCAAAGTTGTGATATTTTCATCAACATGGCCAAAAGGTTGATTATTTGACCAGTTTTCGGCTTACAACTCCTAAACGACGCATGCTATACACAAATGCACCTGTAGTTAGTTTGGAAAACACAAAATTCAGCGTATAATGTTTTTTATTAATCAATAACGGTAATTGATTGTTACATACTTTGTATGGTCGCCATTTCATTGAAAAAAGTATTAAAGTTAAAGTTTGAAAATTTTACTAAAATTGGTTACAACGTAGATCCTGTCCTTAAATGGATTATGAATTATTAGATAGTGGTTTATTCCATGATGGTCATCCAGAGGTTTATCTAATAAGGTGTGAAGGGAGTAAGACCCCCCTATGTAATTTTAAGTCTAATATTGTTGTCTGAGGTTCCGAACATTCTAGGATTCATCCCAACCTCCCATTATATACGATCTATCCCTGTATTCATCTTTCAATTTTTGGCTTACATCTTCTAACGCATGCTATAGAAAAAATGTACCTGTAGTTAGTTAGAAGAGCATAAACGTCTGCGTAGAATGTTTTCCAATTCATTAGGATCGGCTTCACCATTTAACCGCTATTGATTGTTAACACTAGATCGGATGTCAACCTACATTTATTCGAACGAGTTCGCGAACAAGTATAATCGGACCATGGGATCAGGGGTTTATGGGGGGTTTTATGGGGTAAAAATGGGTTTTTCTAATTTTTGACCCTAAAAACTTAAAATTTCTAAATTTCTCTCTAGACCATTTTGAAGAGCTTAAAAAAACAAATAATTTAGTATATTGAAATGTTTTTGAATGTTCATTGACTACGGAGAAAATTAAAAAAATTGTAAATTTAAAATTCCCATGTTATTCTTATGGAGAATAAATAAACTGTTCTAGTTTGCTTGTTTATGGATATATTTTAATCAAATTTGGCAATTTTGTTTACTTCATACTAAGCTATCAATATTTCAATTGAAAAAACACATCTTCCCCGTAGCAGCAAACCTAACTACTCACTAAAATTAATGTTATTTAAATAGGAAATAAATCTGAAAATTTATAGGGAATATTTTAGTAGAAATCAAGCTGGGTAAATGGAAATTCGCTTAGCATGCAGGTTTGCTGCGACGGGGGTATTTTCTAGTGGGGCCTTGTCTGAACACCTCCTTAACTAATAGCATTGACTATTGGATTCAGAAGAAGACATCCCATTAGAAGAAGACAAGACGGCAGTGACGACAGTCTGGACTAGCAACTTAATGCACGCGTACCATCCGCCGCGCAGTTAATTTGTGGCCACACGTGTATTTGTAAATAATGTATTTATGTGTTGTTTCTCGTGACGTATTTATAGACTTTATGACGACCTCTTCGGAGTGATATTTATGTTCCTTCATCGCCTGATGATGGCCCCACAGCTGGGCTGAAACCGGTCGCCGCTCATCGGTGACATTTGATCACATTGACGGATTAAAGGTATTTTATCCTCTAGATTAATTTAAATTTGTGATCAGGAGGCAAAAAACAACAGAAATGAAAAAAATAAGTATGTTAAAATTAGCCTTGTTACAATTAGGCCTATATTATACTTAAATCCTACCAACAACGCCATTTATTTTATTTAAATATTGATTAATTGAATAACAAGTGTTCTCAATCATGAACACTTCAAATGGAGTTGACGATTGAGACCACAGAAATTACTGATGTTTTTTTAATTAATGTCAGCATCGGATATGTTTCTTGTAATAAAAAAAAAAAAAACAGACAACGAAGCGTACATGACAGCTACAGAGATGTGTCATTCTGTTCACAAATGATGCCAGTAAATGGTTATGAGCCTCGTGTCGTACACGCGAACTACGGATTTATATGCGAAATAAGCCCTTACTAAAAAAACCGCCCTCGTATTAAATCACAATCTTTCCCTTACTAGTGTATACATGTATCATTGAACCAACACAGTTTAGCCATAAATCCAGCCAAATTCCTGATAATACTTACCTCGATAGTGCAGATATTGCTTAATAGATAATTCAAATATAAAAAGTTATAACAGTTAGTATTTTACAAACCTTTTGGAGTACTCCAGGTAGCCTTTTTTCAGTTTCTTGACTTCAGACTTCTCATTATGCTGTCATGATGATCATCTTCTAATATTTTTCACTTCTATCGTCTCTTTTGCCAGTGTCTTGACTCTTCAAATGTAGATCCAGATGACCTAGGACCACCCTCCCCCTGCTATTCCCACTATTCCCAGAGAAATAAAGGATTATTTCTCCAAACAGAATCAAGTCATTAGATCATCCATCACCACGATGCCCCCCTCTAGCCTACTTCCCCATAACCCCAGACCCTGACTAGCCTACCAATATACTTCCCACTCCCTAACTCAAAAATGTTAACCCTCCCCCCTTAAACCCCCCAATAACCTACTATTTTTTTAAGTTCCATCGTCCCTGTCTAGCCTACTTTATCCCCCTCCCTGTCTGAAAAGGATGATCCAAGGACCTGTTTTACACTTCTCTCTATACAATAAGCCCAAGATTATCAACCCTGAATTGTTACTTAATTCCCTGTAATTAACATGTAAATGCCCTACTTTTAAAGTAGTTTAGTTACGATTTTCTTTTGCACTATGTCTTAAACCCATAAAATCTTTTTCATGATAAAATCATGTTTCTATAAAACTTTTTGTCTTTGTACATACACAGGTCATTAGAACTTCCGACTTTCAATGCCCCCCTCTAGCCTACTTCACCCCATAACCCCGGGCCTTGACTAGCCTACCATGATATATCCCACGTCCCTAAGTAAAATGTTGACCCTCCCCCCTTTACAACCCCCCTCTAACCTACTTTTTTTACTCCCTCTCCCTGGCTAGCCTAGCAAGTTCCCCTCCCTGTCGTAGTCGGAAGTACAAATGACCTGTTCAATAACTTTGAAAAGAAAACCTAAAAATCTTTCTGGTCCGTTTTTGTTCTCAACAAATTCCCTAGCTAACAACCCCCCAACCCCCCTCAAACCCACACACACTAACAACCATACATCTTCTTTTTTGATCCAAGCAAACATCATCTTCTTTTCAGGGAATCTGAAAAAACCGAACATCAATTTTGTGGATAGTAAAAGTTTCAAGATGTCTATAAAGTTAACTAAAATTGCAACTAAGATAAGGTTCTAATAAGACAGAGATAGAAAATTAATTAATTATATTAGTTTTTAATTTACAAATTTGCAATGTTATTTTTTCTTAATGGATAATTAAAATATAAAAAGTTATAACAGTTAGTATTTTACAAACCTGTTGGAGTACTCCAGGTAGCCTTTTTTCAGTTTCTTGACTTCAGACTTCTAATTATGCTGTCATGATGATTATCTTCTAATGTTTTTTCACTTCTATCGTCTCTTTTGCCAGTGTCTTGACTCTTCAAATGTAGATCCAGATGACCTAGGACCACACTTCCCCCTGCTATCCCCACTATTCCCGGATAAAAAAGGATTATTTCTCCAAACAGAATCAAGTCATTAGATCATCCATCACCACGATGCCCCCCTCTAGCCTACTTCCCCATAACCCCAGACCCTGACTAGCCTACCAATATACTTCCCACTCCCTAACTCAAAAATGTTAACCCTCCCCCCTTAAACCCCCCAATAACCTACTATTTTTTTAAGTTCCCTCGTCCCTGTCTAGCCTACTTTATCCCCCTCCCTGTCTGAAATGGATGATCCAAGGACCTGTTTTACACTTCTCTCTATACAATAAGCCCAAGGTTATCAACCCTGAATTGTTACTTAATTCCCTGTAATTAATATGTAAATGCCCTACTTTTAAAATATTTTAGTAACAATTTTCTTTTCACTGCGTCTTAAACCCATAAAATCTTTTTCATGATAAAATCATGTTTCTATAAAACTTTTTGTCTTTGTACATACACAGGTCATTAGAACTTCCGACTTTCGATGCCCCCCTCTAGCCTACTTCACCCCATAACCCCGGGCCTTGACTAGCCTACCATGATATATCCCACGTCCCTAAGTAAAATGTTCAAACCCTCCCCCCTTTACGACCCCCCTCTAACCAACTTTTTTTATTCCCACTCCCTGGCTAGCCTAGCAAGTTCCCCTCCCTGTCGTAGTCGGAAGTACAAATGACCTGTTCAATAACTTTGAAAACA